GGTGTGTGGTGGGGTGTTGAATGAATTTTTAATTATTACAACTAGTGACTAAAATCCAAAGTGCTAATAATTTTAATTGTTAAACTAAGAAATGTAGGCCTATGATTGTTCTACGATATAGAAGATACCTACTTCGTGGTTTTGTATCAAAATTACGAAATTGTGCACGAAGTCTTAATTCGGTTTTTTTTTTCGTGAATGATGTGTGTTTTGTTCAATTTTTGTCATGTGTCACCATAGCCTAGGTATATTTAGATTGTAAAAAACCTTCCTTAATATTCCATGTTGTTCATTTATGCTTTTTCTTCCGCAGATCGGAGACGGATATGTAACACAAAGTTTCGCACGGAATTTAGAATCATTTTATAATAAGGCTAGCGAACAGGATCGCAAACGCTGTTTGCATCTCCTGGCATCATTAGCATTAGGAGAAGGAATAAATAAATCGACAAAGAAAGAAGATAAAAAGTTACGAAGACCCAAAACCGCTGGGCCTTCGTTTGGTGGTAAGTTAAATTTACATATTGTACACATTCGTCGTAAGCATATGATTTTTTTCCTACGATTATTTTGTTTAGTTTGATCCTACGCATGTTTGATAAAGCGATAAAAATGACATGCTCCGAAGAACATGTTAAAGTACAAGGCATTATAATAGAGTATAACGCTCATAGGTCAAGGAGGTACACGATGGGCATCGGGCGCTCTTCCGTTGTTGAGTATAAAAATATGTACAAGGTGAAGTAAATGTTACAAGGACAATTGGACTGTACGAGCCGCGATGGCCGAGGGGGGCGCATCATTTACGTCAACGTTTCAGAAGAGTGTTTTTAATGATTAAATTGAGGTTTAGATTATACTGTAATAACATTTACAAAATGTACCACAGCCCACATTGCTGCGTTCAAACATAAAAATGAATCGAAGGGCCAAGTATGTTGAGGGCCGCACGCAACAGGTCGAGCGGTGAAAGGCGCCACAAAATGCCTACGTGCTTGTTCGAAGAACGGCCAAGTCTTCTGAAATAAGCACTCAGAGGACAATGTACGCCTCGTTCGTATGCACTTTGAAGAACTAAACGCATCTTTCAGAGGATGGACTCTGGTTCACCTTATTCCCGTGAAGGATGAGGTTCTCATCACGACCGTCGCGCGCGATTCAACACAATGGGCTTTTCTTTGGAGAGTGTGCCAATCAAGCTTAACAGCTGACCAATCAGAACAAGGCAAGGAATACGCGCGTGTCCTGCAAACACACGCGTTGTCCCACAAACGCACGTGTTTGTTTATTGACTATGGTTTGCTTAGGCCTACATTACGCATTGTTTTATGGGACCTTAGCAACAACGATATCCAAGGGGTGGGGCCAGCTCTGGGCTAGCTTATCGGAAAGGTACATTGACGCTGCTAGTTATCGGGGTAATTGCCTACCTTTTATGCAAAGAAGGGCAGCGGTGGCGCCAGAAATTTGCCGACAAGGGGTCCGACGTGTCCGACTGGAGGGGTCCAAACCAAGGCGATGATGAAGCCTCGGTCTACGGCCCGGAATAAACTAATTCCTGTTAAGGTTCATGGGGAGAGTTTTTATGGCTTAAATTTGGTCCTAATTGGGATTGGCAATCAAAATAGCGTTTTTTTAATCATTTTTAGTCGTTCGTTGGACGACATGGGGTTCAGGCCTGTCCGAAGGGTGGTCAGATGCCCACCCTGCCCCCCGACCCCCACCCCGCTGGCGCCAACACTGGAGAAATTAAAGGGGAGGGGGAAGATGAGTTTGCCATAGCGCTGTCTAGAAATACACTCTAGTTTAATGCAATATCGATTAGAGAGCTGTATATCTCGACACATGTTTCACTTTTTATCTTTTTTTATTTTAAGTTACTGCGAAAGGAAATCAACGTTAAAAAGAAATATTCAGCGCTTTTGGCCATTTGGCATGTTGATGCATTACCATCTTCCTGTTATTGCCTCAAAATTACAAGTGCTCGAATCCCTGTTTAAATAAGCCTAATTAAGAGTCGCATGGTTACTGTCCGCTTCTTCAAATAGAAGATGCTTTACAGTGCGATCGATATTGATCAGTGTTACCTGAACTGAGAAAAATACACAAACCAGTGTTATTCTCTGTCACGGTGGATCGTATACTCTACCAGACGTTTCGTATTATTTACACACCAGCAGTTTGCATAAAGATGAAAGGTTCCACGTTTTAAAATGTTGCACTACAATCATTAAACCTCCGCCATTTCCCCCTAATTCGTAGCCAAAGGGTTGCTGTGACAACAGCAACAGCGTAACTTTTTTGCATTGATTTTTATATATTTTCTTTTTTAGGACATTCTAGTAATTGGAGTAGCCAGCAGGAACGACCAAAGTCAAGTATACCAAAGAAGACACCAACAACGTATCGTACTAAATACCCCGCCAAAGAAATAACAAGAACTAAACCGATTATGTAAGTTGATAATCATTATTCATTCACGAAATAACAAACACGAATTTTATAATGTATTTTTGGTACATAGTAATTAAAGTCGGGCACTCAATGCGTCTACGACGGTCGTAGGACCGTCGGCTGACAAATCAAATTCCGCTCCCTATGAGCGCTAGACGACGCGACGCCATACTGATTTAGCGGTGGCAGTCGGCACGGATCGTCATTAAAAGATCCGTTGTTGTGCTCGCGTCGTTGCACTGCGTCCTCCTCTATACGGTCGTAACACAAAATCAGGCACACACTGCGTCGTACGAGAGCAGTTACAGCCGTCAGCCGACGATTCCATTTCTGCTGTCTGCGAGCGTTTGACGCGACACCGTCTATTGACTGTCGATGGGATGCAGAGACTGTTCGGATATCGTTAAAAAGCTATCCGTTCGCGGGCTTCACTGATGAATTGCGTTCTCATTGAGTACGATTGACGGTTTGCAGTGTGTGCCCCTGGGTACCAGGGATTTTGATTTGTGTTGAGTGTATTCTTTAGGCCTTTATAATTGAAATACATTTTTCATGTGTAGAGTGCCTTTATTGATTTTGAATGAACTGTTGTTATATTATTATTAGGCCTATTTTGGTAATGACTATAATCTGCGGTATTATTATTTGTTGGTAATGATTGTTAGGCATCATTTTGTTTTCCGTTACTCCGTTTATTTCCAAAAATACTATTGAATTGAATTGGACAGGCGATTGGAGAAAATCTAAATTTGAATGTGTACTTCTCTGTCCATTTTCGACTCCTACGATGCGTGTTTTCACTGTCCATTTTAGATTACATATCAATGCGAAATTCTCTATGTCAATTTTGACTCCCTTTAACGCGTGCTTCTGTCTCCAATTTAGACCTCTTTTAATACGTCCTTCTCTCAATATTAGACCCCCTTCAACAGACGACATGTATCGGCCAACGCATGATCTAAGAGCGAAGGTTGGCGACTCGACGTATTCGAGCGAGTTCTGTAATAAAGGATATAAACGCCAGGTTGTCATTCCTTCGGGATCGGCGTCTGGAACTAGAAGGAATAATCCCCATCCGTTTCAGGTAAGTTGCTATTTTAAAAATTATCGTAGTACTGGAACACATACCATGCAATAGACCTTTCCGGAGTGTCTATTAAACTTAACAACTGACCAATCAGAACGGGCTCAGGAATACGCGCGTGTCCTACAACACACGTGTTGTCCCACAAACGCACGTGTTTGTGTGTTTTTACACTAGCTTGGTTCTCACGAGAGCCCTAGTATCCGGATCGGGAGCTAACCGTTAGCGCTAACCGTTAGCACCTGCGTGAGAACGCCCGATCGGTTAGCGCTAACCGTTAACGGTATCCGGATACGCTAACGGTTAGCAAGCGCCATCGGTTAGCAAGTTGAGGGCGTTTCTATCATCAACCAATCACACGTACGCTACAATTTCCAGTTTCTTATTGGCCAGTGATTCGATCATCATATTGTTGGTATCCGGATCGGGATTTTCTCGCATGGACCCACGGCAGCTAACGGTTAGCAGGATCCGAATCCTGCTAACCGTTAGCTGCCGTGTGAGAACATAGCCACTGTCATTTTGTGGGACCTTAGCAACAATATCCAAGGGGTGGGGCTTAGCGCAAAGGTCCATTAGCCTGGTTCTCAGGAGAGCCCTAGTATCCGGATCGGGAGCTAACCGTTAGCACTAACCGTTAGCACCTGCGTGAGAACGGCCGATCGGTTAGCGCTAGCCATTAGCAGTATCCGGATACCGCTAACGGTTAGCAAGCGCTATCGGTTAGCAAGTGAGCACGTTTTTATCATCAACCAATCACACGTACGCGTTTACAATTTCCAGTTTCTTATAGGCCAGTGATTCGATCATCATATTTTTGGTATCCGGATCTGGATTTTCTCGTATGGACGCACGACAGCTAACGGTTAGCAGGATCCGGATCCTGCTAACCGTTAGCAGCCGTGTGAGAACATAGCCTTCTTGATCGTTATGTTGATGGACCTTTCCGCGCTAAGCCCCGCCCCTTGGATATTGTTGCTAAGGTCCTACCAAACCGCAGGGTAAAAACCCTCGTCCCACGTGCGTTGTGGGACAACCTGGGGACAACACATACGTAAACGTGTGTTTGTAGGACACGCGCGTATTCCAGGCCTTGTCCTGATTGGTCAGTTGTTAAGTTCGATTCTCACCCCGGGAAGGTTTATTATCGACAGTGATCACATTATTGCCTCCTATCTGATTCTAAGCTCCTTCCAATTTTATCTTTGTGCTTTTTCTTGAGTAATATTGTAGTTGGTTTTGATGCACGTGACTGAGTATACACATTTTAAGAAACCGCACGCGTTCGATTAATTTAAATTTAGTCTTTTTTTGTTTTATCATTATTATCACATCATCATCTTCATTAATATCGTCAGCATCATCGTCAATATGATCTGCAGAACATCATCGTCATTGCATCATCATCATGCTTACTGTGTTGTTAATAAATGAAAAAAATGATTAGGTAGGCAGGTAGGTAGGTGTTGTGATTGTGTTGTGTAAAAGTTTATTATTATTGCAGAACTTGGAATAATTTTAAATGGAGCTTGATGAATTTTGTCAATGTCTGAAGGTCAAAGACAACAAATCAATGCAAACCTTATACAAGCAACGTTTCATAAACGAATTTATACATTGTTGCTTACTATGCAACTGTGCCAAGTAGGCAGGGTGGCGCTAGTGGGGGACCGGGGCCAGCGCCCCCCCCCCCCCCACGGGAGCCTAATAGCCTAATCGAAAAGTCATTCAGTTGCTCAAACTATATGTAAAAGATATACTGTATTATTTTTGGAAGGGCTTAGTTACTGTTTATTATGCTGTAGTATGAATGTCACTCCAAAAACATTGACAAGGCCGTTTTTTCTATGTTTCGTTTAACCATCATCAGGAAATAATACATGAGGCATCATCTAATCAGAACAAAGTAGGCTCGTATTATCATAAATCAGAATACAGGCCTATTTGAAGTAAAAATGCAGTAAACACTAAAAAGAAAGTCTGATAAACAAATGTAACTCTACTACTACTAAGCCTAGGCCAACTGACTGATTTTAATACCACGGTTGTCTGTTCGGAAATCATTAGGTTCAGGCGAAAATTTCGTCATTGTATTAGGAATCTCTGGGTGATTAGACTCTGATTAAACAACATTCCGCTGTTGGGCATCATCTGTAACCCACTTGCGTATAAAAGCTTGCGAGTCATCAGACTGTGACGATTTCATTACAAAGGATAGAGCCTATAAATACAAGCCTTTCTTACATCAGCTGTGATGGCCGAGTGGTTAAGGCGTTGGACTTGAAATCCAATGGGATCTTCCCGCGCAGGTTCGAACCCTGCTCGCAGCGAATTTTTTTTATTACTTTTTTTTCAACGCTTATTTACATTGTGTACATCCTATTTGCTTTTTTTAGCTTTTTAATTGTATAAGTTGTTTTTTAAAGTATTTATTGATTACTTTATATTTTTCTTTATAATTTATTTAGTCTTCTTTAGTCTTGTTAACACCGAATATGTCCAATCAAATGCCAATGAAAAGAAATTTAATAGGATGTTAGAAGTATCATTATTAGTGATGAAAAATATATTTCAATTTTTGCTCCTATGAATAATAATTATTATTAATATTATAACTATAAAGCTGATGATAATATTAACAATAATATAAAAATATATATATTTTTTGGGTAGTTTAAACAAAATTCTCTTAAGATAATAAATATTTACTCAATCTTTTTCAATTTCAGTCTTTCATTGTTTGGAAATTTCCAAAAAACACGAAGAGTGATCAACAATCGTATTCAAGACCCCTTACAGACCGTATGATGGACGAAGTCTTGGCAGACAAGTGTAGTTCAACTTATCAAAACGACTATCTAGGAATACCACAAGGTAAATTATTATTATTAATATTATTATTATTATTATTATTATTATTATTATTATTACTATTATTATTTTCATTATTATTATCGGTAGTCTAGTGGTTATGGCACCAGGCTAGTTATTTGGAGATGGTGGGTTCGATTCCCACCCGAATCACTTGCACATTTTTTTCGCTAGTATTTGGTAGAGTACTCGGTGTGATATTGCGTCAGGTAGGGCAAAACATCACTCTTATGATATTTTCCTGACGCAATCTTACATCGTAATAACATTTGCAGTACCCGTTACTACTTGGGGATCAGATTCAACAATAATTACTAAGTCAAGCTCGGAATCTAGTGGTTATGGCGCCATGCTAGTTTTCTGGAGGTCGTGGGTTTGATTCCCACTTGAATCACTTGCGATTTTTTTTCCACTAGTATTTCAAAACTTCTACTGAGTATTCGGTACGATAATACATCAGGTATAGGGTTAAAACATCACTCCTATTCCTGACACAAACTCAAACATCATAAGATTCCCACCCGAATCACTAGCACTTGCAAATATTTGTCGCCAGTATTGGGAATATACTGAGTATTTGTTACGATAATACGTCAGGTAGGGCAAAACATCACTCCTATTGTTATTATATTATTATTATGGCAAGGCATGTTATTATAATGTTATTATTAGCCTAGGCCTATTTTTTTTTATTGCTGCTACTATTATTATTTACTCTAAGTTTATTATCGCCCCTCCCCCCGCTCCTATACGCTTGACTGAGTTCAATGCCTGGTTTCTTTAAAATCGATACACTGTCGCTACGAGTGTTTTCAGTGCAATTGTGACTGCATACAATCGGGACTTCTAGGCTTCCCAATCCGACCAACCAATCAGCATCTCGAAAGCTGTCGGCGCTATCCTGTAGCGTAAAGCCACATTTACACTAGACACGTGACACGATTACGACACGACAACGACATATCATCGCGTAGTTTGTATTCTTCAACACTTCGCGCATCGTGTCGAGTTGTAATCGTGTCTATGAGGCTTAAGTTTGTGACACACAAAAGTTATAAAAGAGAGAGAGAATAGTGATTGACTGATAATAGTAAACAATCAGTATCAATTATACTTCACTACCTATTATTTTTTCCTAGGGGTTTTGACATGTTTTCATATTACGATGACATACAATTTATAATATGAAATCAGCAGAAATGTAATTAAAACAACAGTAGTTTTATATGTTCCCAATATTGTTTCATGATTCAATGTTAATGAATGAAATAGAATCCTATAAATGTGTACGAAACACGAAGAAAATGAAATCCCAATGGTTAAGGGTCAAAATTGACAAGATTGGTTTATACGAAGTACAGTAACACATGGAGTATGCCTTACCGATATTCACTCCAAGGATTTGGGGAGAAAATTCTGGTTTATTTCTCAAATTTAAAATTCAAAATTCAATTTCAATTAATTTCAATTTCAATTTATTCAGAAAAACCGCGGAACAGAGAAGTAAAGTAGTAAGCCTACCATAACTTTAAAACTATAGAACAATTTCATTAATAGGGGTTTATAGTTAGTCATACATATACCAGAATAATAATTCAGCTTTACTTAAATCCCGGATTACCGCCACTGGTAACAACAGGGTTACATTTTAGCTTTAATTTCATCAAATATAGGCCTATAATTAAAAGTTTGAAAATATTTTCGGCAAAAAGATGGATTATATTTTCGTTTCAAATATTAAAAGTTGTACCATTTTCCAGTGGCGAACCCGAGGCTCTTCTACCACCCCCCCCCCCCCAATCCTCCAATTAGAAAAAAAATAACGTTGAAAAAATGGAAAATTGCATTCAAATGCAATCTGAGAGTGCCGTTTTCCGGCCATCCACAGGTGCAAAAATCATAACATTCCTTACCTCAGTCCCAACCATGGTGGGGCTGAGGTGGATAAACCATATTATCTGTGAAAATCCCTCTTTGTGCGCCCCTCAATTACGAATTCCTATATCCGCCTCTGTTTTCTCAAAAGGAAGATCATTAGTAAATAAAAACGCTGTAATACTAATGTCTTCATTTTTTAAAACATAAAACATCACATTTTTGGGATCGTATAAAGGTCGATATGCAATTTATTATGGTATTTGATGTCAGGCCTACATGGGTCGAGGTTTGGGAAATCACAAAATCGGGTCCCAGAGGAAAAAAAAAAGTTCGGGAAGGGCTTTATGCATATGCGGTATTTGAAGTAGGGAACGATCGTCAGCGCAGTGTGTGCACCAGTAGCTAAATGTTTGGTGTTTTCTTTTTACATTAGGTTTTCAGATGAAATCTGCTTTTGACGAGGTACCAGATGAACAGAAGCCACAGTTCACTCTAGATTCTACAATGCGATTCTCCTATCAATATCCACAAACGAAGGATGAGTTAAAAGCAAATATTAGTAATAAATACGGATGCTATAAGAACCTACGCCAGCCCGCGACTGGTATTGGTAAGTTTCAAAGCACTTGTTGAATAAAATTTCTTAGTATTAATAAATAGTGTTACATTTTTTTAAACTTACTTAATTAACAAAATAATAATAATAATAAATTTCCTGATATGTATAATCAATACACCTTCCTATACATTTATTTATTTATTTATACAATACATTTCAATCCTTGACCGCTTTTGATCAGTTTTTCTTGAATACATAGATATTGTGTAAATCAAATGATTGATTTATACCAGAATGTGATATAGGGCCCTATTATTTTTTAATCATATTTAAATTGTGTTATATTATGTTCTTCTTGCTATTTGCTTTGTAAATTGTATTGTAAGAATTGTGGGTATAATTTATGTATTTTTTTAATTTACTGTTATTGTTGCAATAGTATGATATTATATTTTGTTTTTTATGTTCAAGTGTGTACTTTTATCTGATATCCTCTACCTCGCTAAGTATTTAGTGAGCTGAATTTGAATAAAATAAAATAAAATAATTTTGTTGTGAACAAAAAACACCTTAAGCTTATTTTCCAAAAAATCGTCACACTTCTACGTAGATGTCTCCGACGCAATTGGGAAAGGCTCCCTGATTCGACCGACCAATCAACATCGGTAAATGCTGTCGTCGATAACATTTACCGATTTTATGGAAAACAGGATTAACTATCAAATAAACGATATGAAATTTATAATTTTACAAATTCTTCACAGTTCCAACCGCGGCCAACGATCAGATGAACATGCGTACATTTACCTCGTACGACCAGTTCTTTAACAGGCCGTACAAACCCGGTCAAGCCGAAATATATGAAGCTGTAAGAACCGGCAAGATGGATGAATATATGCGACTGGCAAACGATAAAGGTAAGGCAGACACTAAATTAGAAACTAAAATCATTAAATGATGTCATTAAATAGGCCTTTTGATGATGATGATGATGATGATTATGATGATGATGATGTTGATGATGATGATAATGATGGTGATGATAATGATAGTGTGTGGTTGTGCTGTACATTATACTGATGTTGATGGCAATGCGGCGCCTGTTTGTAATAACCATTCACTGGCGGAATTCTAGTTAGAGGGAACCACTGACTTTTACAGATAAAGCGTCCAAACCATTCAGCACTCCAATATATTTCAGGCTGACGTACGATATTTTATAGCTATGGCACCTTTATTTGCCGGAAACTCTCAGATATTATAAACCTAAATGTTTTTCCAACATTTTATTTTAATTTTAGGGCTCCCATTGAGCCAGCCTCTGCCACGTTCTGGTCATATTTCTAAACTAAAACTCCGTGAGATATATGTAAACTTTTTTGTTTTGTTTTCAGAGCGAGATGTACTAACCAAGATGCTAGACGACCACGAACGCCGACCTCGAACGCCAAGTCCGAAATATCACCCGCGTCCTCCATCTGTCCGGTCAAGTCAGCCGTCAAATAATCTGACCTTTATATCCGGTTGGACGGGTCCCATGTAGACCTTCAGAATTTGGTGCAATAACCTGTCACGTGATTTTGATACCAAATCGTTGAGTATTTCAACTGGATTTAGTTTTGTCAAAATAAATTATGATAGATAGTATGAACTCAGCTATACATTGTGAGAGGTATTTTTAATATGATCATCCAACGTGTTAATGTTTAATGGCAAAAAAAAAGTGTATTGAGATGCGAATTATGCATAGGCCTACCTATTTTTGTAGTTTAATTTTCCAGTGTCTTAGAGGCGTCATAAAGCATAGCGTCGGAGTCGTATAGGCCTATATGCACGTAGATGTATTGTAGACACAGTGGAGGGTAAACTTTTTTCTCGCCTTTTTGGCTCCAGCATAATGTACCAAGCCTCGCCCTTCAATATTGTTCACACCAATCGGCGCGATTTCCGGAGCGCTCTGCCCGGCAACGGAAACCGTGCTTGGTGTTAAAGTAGGCCTAGCTTTGTCCCACAAAACATGTAAATCGTAAATGTACGTAAGCCTGGTTCTCACGAGAGCCCTAGTATCCGGATCAGGAACTAACCGTTAGCGCTAACCGTTAGCACCTGCATGAGAACGCCCGATCGGTTAGTGCTAACTGGTAGCAGTATCCGGATACCGCTAACGGTTAGCAAGCGCTATCGGTTAGCAAGTTGAGCGCGTTTTTATCATCAACCAATCGCACGTACGCGTTTACAATTATCAGTTTCTTATTGGCCAGTGATTCGATCATCATATTTTTGGTATCCGGATCGGAATTTTCTCGTAGGGACGCACGGCAGCTAACGGTTAGCAGGATCTGGATCCTGCTAACCGTTAGCAGCCGTGTGAGAACATAGCCAATGAATATTTATTCATTACTACGCTTATTCGTTCACATTAGACCTTTCCGAATTTGAATGTAATAACATAACATGTTTCTACGGACTTTAAAAATAAAATAATCTAGTTAAAATCCATATCGTAGCACAAACAGCGCGGTATTTATAAGTCAGACCTGCCTATGTGAACTTTATCAGCCAATCAATAGTCTATTCATGACCGATAGAGGGCACATTAACTGTGTGAGTAATCGGAGTAACTCCACAACCTATCATGTCTTCTTAGCTAAGAATGTAGGAAATTTAGTCTGTTAATTAATTAATTGCCTATGATGATTATTTGGTTACTCAAAGAGCAACGCTCGTGAATCATTAACTTTATATTAACAGCACTAAATTCAAAAGTACTATATTATTTATTACCGTAATTTTAAATTTTCCGTTAGATAGTAGGCCTATGTTAATGATATTGCTAAATATTTTATTACTATTATGATACAATGGTTCTGGCTACAATTACATTAAAAAAATAATAATGCTATTTATTTTGTTACTTTAACAGTGCCTTTATATTTTAATATATACACTGTTTTTATGTATAGGCCTATTTTATGCAGGTATTTATAGTTGTTTTTTTAGTGAAATCTGCTTTTGTAATTGTGCAATCACGCTTTAGAGATTTAATACAGTATCGAGCACATTTGAATCAGACAACTCCTGTTTTTGTGAATACCTTATGCATACGTGTTATATTCAAGCATGTTCTGGAAAGGCAGGGGTCCCAAGTGTCCCGGAACTCGCGGGAGTGTCCCGGGAATCGGGACGAACTTCCGCACTCCCGCAAGTGAGCAGGAATCTCATAATTATTTGCATGTTTTAAATATTTTATAGTCTCATGGAAGTCAGTGCCGATGGGTATCACTGCAGTAATAAAATTAAAATGTGTTAACAAAAGTCATTAACCACAGGAGATCAGTGGAGGACTCAAAAAAAAAAAATGGGAAAAGAAGACAATTCTATTCTAAAATTTATGTATGAGAGTGTCATTTCCGGCCATCTAGAGGTGCCATAATAATAACTTTTCTTACCTCACCCCAACCATGGTGGGGTTGAGGTAATAGGTAGGTGGTATCTTACATCTGTAAAAGTTCCTCCCTGCCCCCCCCCCCACCTCTACTTCGAATAGATGTGTATAAGAGACACCCCCCACACCTCTACTTCGAATTACTGGATCAGCCACTGTAGATCTAGCTCCCGAAAATGACAAACTAAGAGATCGGACAGCTGGAAAATTTGAATAAAACACGTCATTATTCACACACGAAGGTCTGTCGCACATAGAAAAGTGTGTACGCTTTTAGCAGAACATTAAATGTGTGCATTTTCAAAAATTCTTTGTTAATGTGTTTTATTATTTCGTCATCATCAAACCAGTGACGTATGTCGGATATTAACATGAGAAATAGGAGGCGAGAAAGAGACATGGAGAGAAAGCTTCGAGCGCTAGCTTCGATAATGAGGTAATCTAAGGTATTTTTACTTGAGTGTTATTTTTTTGCTCCGCAAGTTTTCGAAGGCGTTGCCTGGGTATTAGATTAGACGATTTAGTTCGTATTTGACAAGTCAACTTACATCGTCACGATTTTTTACAGCGGCCCACTTGGGATTGGAAATTATCGCGTAACAAACTTGTTTTCTTGAAATCCATCTTGAAACATCCACCCACTTCCCCCGTCTCCCACGTTTATTATGCTGCTGCTAACACATGCCGTGCTTAGTTTGTATGGTATTTTGACAATAAATTTCTTCACAGAGACGTTGATCTTGGTGGCGATGACACGCCCAGTGTGCCAGAATATGTGTAGGAAGTAATAATCAGCTAGGCTACGTGTAATTCCTGCTACAACAATCCGTAGGCCTAAATGTTTCAAGAGAATGCTGTTTTACTTAAAGAATGGATGTTTACTTGTAGGAGTACGAAACTGAGTTTTCAAATCGGAATGTATGACAAATATTATCATATACTAATTTGTGTAAAGACAAAATGTTTGTGCCGATTTACTCTGGAAGAAATATATCGTAGCACCATTCTTTTAAATGTCTTACTGTTATTGGCATATTTTGAGTTCCTATTTATGTCTATTAAAATATCATTAAAAAAAACCAATTTTACAATAACACGGGTCTACAACATATAACTTGTCACGCTACAAAGTGATAATCCATTTTTCAAATTACATTCGATTGGTTACACAACTCTGTACATAATGGACCACCACTAAGCCCTGCCCCTTTAAACATAGCGTAGTAAACACGTGCGTTTGTGTCTATGAGGACAAGGGCGTATTCTTATCGATGTTTGGTCAGTAAAATTTTATTGACCAAACATCGGAACGTTCCATTATGCATACGAACGTAAGCCTTCTTTCCATAAAATCGCTATCGAGCAGTATCTTATCGATGTTTTGTTTGGTCAATCAATCAATCACGTTTCATTGACACTCCGAAAAAGTCATTAAGCATGCGAACGCCATCGCATGCCTTTCCATAAAATCGCTACACGCTATCACTGATGGTTTTCGGTGATGCTGATTGGTCGGTCAAATCGAGAAGTCTTTACAATTGCGTCGGGGACAGCTAGTGCAACGATAGTGAAAGCACTGTAGCGATTTTATGGAAACAGCACTTCAGTAGGCCTATTAGGCCTTGTTTTTTATTAAAATCGCTCCCCTATTCGACCGACCAATTAGCATCGGCGAAAGCTATCGGCGATAGCGTGTAGCGATTGTATGGAATTATTGAACCAAAGTTGAGATTGTTACGTAGTAACGATCCACTTAGCCTTACGTTTTATCCTGACTACCATCATAATACAGTATGTTAGCACATGGCTACCGACGTTGCAAAGTCAGCGTAGGCCTATATTTTTGCTCTGATTACCATTTTACAATCAGAGAATAATAATAGCCTACTATTATTACAGTACTGTACCTCTATGGTATCAGCATGGAGAATTGGTATCAGCCGTCATTGCAGAAGTGTTAGGCATGGCCTTTAACGGACAGAGATGTGAGGATATACAACTTCATAGAAGAAACAAACAGACGACGAGTTTCACTTTATGTGACCATTTTGTTTATACAAATTCGCATGTTCTCAGTTGCTTAGGTACTGATATTATTACGAGGAAATGTTTGTATGTTTAAAGAGATACGGACCATCTACATTAATTGCTCGGTTGGACATTTATTTATACGCTGTTCGATAGATAATGTGAGGTTTTACTTTTTTTCAAGGCGAGAATCTCGAATCTTCTGCTATTGACTGGTTAAGTCTGAGATTCGGTCATGCGTAGTCTGGCCCACGTAAGCGTGCGCCATTTCAGCTGCGTTCTGATCGATCGTCTTTTAGAGGTTAATGCCTTGTCTTCTATTCTTCACTGTTTTTTTAAACCATCGTCGTCGTTAGCCAGGCTACGACAGCTGTCTATATGCCTTGATTTACTGCAGTCGTAGCTACCCATCTCGCGTGCAATGCAAATAATTTCTTTTGAACTTAGGCCTCAGAAAAAAAAAAATCTTCCCAAACCACGGTGCGAGATGTATATTGACTCAGGAGACGTATTTTAACGACTATCAGTTCAGATGAATCAGGTTTGAACGGTATAGACCTTTTTGGAAATCTCACCTCATTCTTGTCTACGAAATCGTTGATTTTGAAGTGCATGTCGATTTTAGTTCGTTAAAGGCTACTGTTTCGTCATCTGAAACGCAAAAGTCGTCAGGTTGGATCCGAGAGGCAGTTTTCGTCGTCTGCTTAGAATGGGGGCTAACAAGGAGACCTCCAGGGGCGGCGATGCCTATGACACCCAAATTTCAGGTAACGTACTTCATACCTGCTTTAAAATGACGACTGGCGAAATAATTATTATTTAATTAATTTGTCTGAATAATGCATGGTAATCGTCGGCAAAGAAAACCATTACCATATTTGACAATAGGCCTAGTTCCATCTCGGACGTCGTAGTCACCATCATTCCAGGCTATTTTCATTAGCTGAACATCATTATCGACATCACTGTAGTCAAAATCCTAATCATTATGAACCTCATTATAATAGTCGTAATTTTTAATCGCTATATCATACCGTATTCATTATCAACATAAAAGTCATAATCAATTTTAACGACAGCAGCGTCATTATCATCACCATCATCTGACATCATCATCATTATAGTTGTCGACGTCGTTATATCATCATCATCATCATCGTCATCATCATTATCATCATCATCATTAATATCATCATTATGATTACAAAGCTGTAATTAATAATTAAATACTGTTGTTATGTTCACCATTTATTAATTCTGTTATCAGCTTTGACGTAATAAAGTCGCATCGTCTTTAGAAAATCATCAACCTAATCAGCATAAACGTCATTATAAATAATCGTAACCTTTAATCGCAATCCTATTCATTATCATCATAAACGTCATAATCAATTTTAATGACAGCACTGCCATAATAATACTGTAGTCGTCGACGTCATTATCATCATCATTTAATAGCATTATCATTAAGATTTCTATAGCTGTAATTAAAAATTAAATTGTAGGCCCTATCTGCATTATTTATAACTTCTGCTATCAGCTTTGACGTAATAATGTCGCATCGCCTTTAGAAAATTATGTCACGTGAGGACGTGCTTCAGAAGAATTTTATTATGTCACATTTATCATAATAATTAATAATTTAAACTATATGCAGCTTCACTGTGTGTACTTCGATTGTTGA